GGTTTTCCCTGGTCTTCCTTTGGCTGAAGAACAGCGTTTAAGACCCTGTAGGCCATAAGGGAATACTCAGAACTGGAAACATTCCAAAGAGAAATTGAAAGTTGCAAAACAATTGAAAGTTGTTTTGTCAGTACAAAACAGTTTTCAATTGTCCCTTGGAATGTTTTGAGTTTTATTCAAAACAGCAGTCAGAGCTGTTTTACTTCAAAATAATGACCAAGAGGTCTTGTAACCTTGCACTTATATCTCAAAAAAACTGTCAGACATTGAGCAGAGGTGGGCACTATGGGAAAAAGAGTCATATGTGGTGCGTTGGGCACTCACATTTCTTAGAAGGGGGGGAAACCCCTATCAAAGTGAAGAAATATCCTTCTGGGTTCAGCTCCAAGTGGGGAAAAAGACACTGGAAACACGGAGACTGCTTGGAAAGATGGTTTAATGGTGGACAGGATCACATGGTTTGAGTTCTTGAACAGAAAAAGGGGCAAGATACAGCGAGTGTTGCTTTGTGAGTGTGTGAATGAGACGAGGGAATTCCTCAGAGGTTTGCCCTCGAAGCGACGTGCGGAGATCCAATCTGCGTTTCTGATTATCCGAGAGGAGATCAGCCAGAGACGATCACTTTGAAAGGAGTGTGACTGTTGGAATAAGAATCTGTAGTGCAGGAGAGGGCTCTGACCAAACTTCGGACCCGCAGGGGAGGTCTGGGAAATCTCTTAAGGAAAAAGAGAGGGTTTGGTTAGGCTTCGCACCGACGGAAAGGTGTGGCAAATCTCCTCAGGAGACAGAGAAAGTCTAGTCAGGCTTTGAGCTGACAGAAAGGAATCCCCTGGAAAATGGGCAACCATGCTGGTAGTCCATTCGGAATGAGTAACTTTGTAAGAAAAACAGAGCCGTGTTCCCCTCTGGACTGCGTGTTAGCCCACTGGGACACAGTAAAGCCTATTGCAGAAAAAAAGATTGTTCTAAAAAAGAATAAGCTGAAAGCATTCTGCACATCCATCTGGCCAACCTACTTAATTGGTCCTAACGTAGGAACCTGGCCTCCAGAAGGCAGCCTTGATTTAGATTTTGTCAACAAACACAGTATCTAGGAAGAAAGTCCAATGGGCCACTCAGGAAGTACAGTATCTGGGTTTTGTTCTGCGCAAAGGCTGTCGGCTCCTACATGAAAGCCGCCTACAGGCTATTTCAGCCTTACCTACACCCACTAACGCTAAACAGCTACAGACCTTTTTAGGCATCACTGGCTATGCCCGGCTGTGGATTCCAATGTATTCTATCATTGCTAAACCCCTTTATCAATTAACTCAAAAGGACATGGCCTGGGAGTGGACAGGGGAACATCAGAAAGCATGGCAAGACTTGAAAGATGCATTGGGCCGTGCCTCTGCCTTGGCTTTACCCGATCAAATGAAAGGCTTTGAACTCTTTGTTTCTGAAATGAAGGGTTGTGCCCTGGGCATTTTATTGCAAAAACTGGGCCCCGAAAGAGTTCCTGTGGCTTACCTTTCAAAAATCCTGGATCCAGTGGCCAGAGGCTGGCCAGCCTGTCTCCGATCTGTTGCAGCCACAGCCATCCTCATCCAGGAGACTCATAAAATAACTTTGGGGGCTCCCCTTAACGTTTATATGCCTCATTCAGTTCAAGCTCTCCTCGAACAAAAACTCCCAGCATGGGCCACCTCATGCCGGATTTCTAAGTATGCAAGCCAGATTTTAGAATCAGACTCTGTTCCGCTTCATAGATGTGAAAGGCTGAATCCAGCTACCCTTTTGCCTTGCCCCCCCGAGGATGGTCCACAGCATGACTGTTTAGCCATCTTGGAATCCGTGGTAGGCATTCGTGCAGATCTTAGGACTGAACCTTTTGACAATCCTGAGTCCCAACTCTGGACTGATGGCTCTTCTTTTGTAAAAATGGGAAAAGATACACAGGACTGGCTGTAGTTTGCAGAGATGGCCCCCTCCTCCTACAACAACTCCCCTCTCACTGGTCCGCTCAAGCAGCCGAGCTTTTAGCCCTGATTGAGGCATGCCATCTGTCAGCTGGACTACGCACTAATATCTATACTGACAGTCGTTATGCATTTTTGGCTGCACACACTCATGGAAGGCTCGTGGCTTTACTGGTGCAGATGGGAAAAGCCTAAAGATGAAGCCCTTGCTAGAAAAACTTGTCACAGCTGTCAGACAGCCATCCCAGCTAGCTATCATTCATTGTTGAGGACACCAGACAGACCACAGTGAAATCTCTCGTGGGAACCGGGCTGCTGATTATTGGGCCCGCCAAGCTGCTGAATCAGGCCCTGCTGTCAATCCCAAGAATCTCTCAGCTTTGCTTCCCTGTGACCCCACGCAACACCTTCCTGCCCTATATGATACTAGGGACCAGCTACACCCTGATGGCAAGTGGTGCGATGGGTGGTGGGTCATTCAGAACAGAATCCAGCTCCCTCAACAAATGGTATGGAAACTTGTTCAACGAGCTCATCGCATGTCTCACAGCGGTCCTCGCCCACTCCAGAAGTGGCTCACATCCCGCTATTGCAATCCAAACTTGCGTGGCCTTTGCAAGACTGTTGTTTCTCAATGTGACATCTGCCAAAGGAACAACCCCCGAGGGGGCAGTCCGCTTCCTCTCGGTCGTCTTCGAACTGCCCGATACCCAGGGGAGGCTTGGCAAGTAGACTTTACTGAACTCCCAAAAAGGGGAGCAAAATCTAACCTTCTTGTATTTGTGGATTTATTCACTGGATGGCCAGAAGCCATCCCTACCTCCACCCAAAAAGCCAGAGAGGTGGTGAATGCCTTAGTTGATCACATTATCTCAAGATTTGGGGTCCCTAAGGGTCTTGAGTCTGACAATGGCAGGCATTTCACCTTACAGGTTACTCAGGATGTCAGTAAGTTTTTAGGCATCCCTTGGCACCTCCACTCTGTTTACAGACCACAGGCTTCATCAAAAGTGGAACATTTGAACAGAACCCTGAAAACACACTTGTCCAAATTATGCCAAGAAACCCAACTCCCCTGGCCTAAGGTACTACCACTAGCCTTAGCAAGAATTAGAACCCTGCCTTCAGGGAAATTAGGATTGTCACCCTTTGAAATGATGTATGGGAGACCCTTTGTTGCTTCTGCCCTGCCAGATTCTAGTGAAGGGGAAAGAAATATCACCTCATATTTGCATAATCTGGCACAGGTTTTGTCCTCTATCTCTAAACAGGTCCAATCCGCTTTACCTCCAGCTGCTGACGTGCCACCATTGGCTGAACCGGGCCAGTGGGTAAGGATCAAAGAACTCTCTCCCACCTGCACCCAACCCAAGTGGTCTACAACCCGTCAGGTTCTTCTGAGCACCCCCACGGCTGTGAAAGTGGACGGCGTCAAAGCGTGGGTCCACGCATCATGAGTCAAGCACATCCCTGAGCCCCCTGAGCAGTGGCAAGTCCAACAGCTGGAAGGACTCAAGCTGAAACTTCACCGCTCCCCAGCATCGCCTGCTGACCTGTTCACTGATGGATAGACTGGACACCCATTGAATATATTTGGTTTGCTGTTTTTGTTGTCTTTGCTGTTTTTCTGCTCTGTTGCTGCTGGTTTCCCCGCACATTCTTTGGAAAAGGTGACAATGACTCTGCTCTTTATTTTGGTTCCACAACTTGTCTCAATGTTTTTGATCCTCGGGACTTTTATACCCACAGCCAAACTCTTCCCCAACTGAACCTCACATGATTCTTAAAACCATCCCTAGTAAATATGTACCTCTTTTACAGCATGATGGAAAGCATTCCATCGTTTTAAATAAAAAGAGTGAAATGTAGGGAAACAATAATATAGAATATAAAATACTGATATACTAGATTTAGTAAAAGCTTGTTATTCTGTAATCATTAGGTTCCTGTAACATATATATTGTGCTTTTGTATCACATATATTATTCCTTTCTATTTGTATCTCCTGTTACAAACATATTGTCATTAGGCCTCTGAAATGTATCTGGTATTTGTCAAACGTATGTCCCTGCCATTTGACCTGCTCATATCAATCTCTTTCTGTGCCACCTAAAAACATGGTACGTATCTGTTGGAACTCCAGCCATCAACAAAGGGGTAATTTACATCTCAATCCTAATTTATGTCTGATCTGGGTAAGATCTGGTCTTCAGGAGCCAGGCGCTAAGTGGCCAAGTAAGTAAACAAAGATAAGACTAATTGGAAGTTTAGATTCCTTTGCAGGGCAACAAAGAATACACAAACATAAATTAAGGGGCCAGAATTAGGGATCTAACTGATGCTTTAAAGGTATAAAACGTGGTTACATCTTCTCTGAAGATGTGAACCCTCCCATATACATATCTCTTTGTATGTGTTTGGAATGGTTTTACCCAGCCTTTTGTCTTTGATCAAAGATTAAATGTTGATTCTTATTCAAGCCTCCGTTTAAATCTTTCTTTTTGGTTCACTGAGAGCTTAAGCGTATAGCCGGACCTTACACAACCATGATCACTACCTGACCTTCGAGTCTTCCAAAGATTTTCCTCATAATGCAGAAGGACATAATCTGGGTGTTGTATTTCTACTCCTCAAACTCTCCTCAGTTAGCTGCCCTTTTTCACATTTCTCCCTAGACAGCAATATCAGCAGCTCTCTGTTACTGATCAGCCCAAAGGATTACTAAAGTCCAGAGAAGGAATTCATCCATTTCCTGGCTTCAGATCAGTTGCTGGCAGCATGGGGGTGGGGGGTGAGGGGTGGGGAAAATGGTGACCTCAAGCAGATTTATCTGCTTCTTGAAATTGTTAATCCAAAATTGCATGCCATCCTCCAATTGCCAACAAGAGTAGAAATCACTGAATTCTGGGTCATAGTTCTCCTAAGTATCCAGATTCAGTTAATGAAACTTGATCAGCCTGACAACTGCCAGCTGGAGATCAGCAGGATCCCTTCCAGAAAATGACAGTCAGTTTCTTCTTGGAGTTTGTGAGTATACCCTCAGGTCCCGACTTGGAAAACCAACCTTTCATCCTTGATGGAAATATGCAAGAACCGTTTCTTAGGCAACAGGACTGGAATATTTTTTAAGTTTTAAAAAACAACACGCTATTCAAAAACGGCTCAGGCAGATGCCTCCTTGACTCACTGGAGTATATGGGGTGGAGGTAAGAGATAGGGAATAAATCTACTCCCTCTCCTATTCGATGAACTTTCAACCCTTTGAAGATGGCTGCCCTGTCATCGTACAATTGTCTTTTCTATAGGTTAAACAGCCAAGAGCCACAAACCTTTGAAGATTTTGCTGTAGTCTTGGGAGAAAATCTGTGAGGCATTCCCTTCATCGACCAAGTTAGTCAGTCCATCAAAGATGGAGGAAAATTTAGTGTCATACAATATAAGTCATACCGGCTCCTATTTATTGTAGTATCACTGTCCAAGTGCTCACAAATGTATAACTTGTTAATTTATCTAAGGACATTACTCCTGCAGTGTCTTGGAACACAGAACAGTGATGGCGAACCTTTGGCATGTGTGCCACAGGTGGCACATGGAGCCCTCTCTGCAGGCACGCAAGCCGTCGCCTAGCTCAGCTCCACTGCGCATGCGCATCCCACCGGCCAGCTGATTTTCGGGTCTGCCCTGCAAGCAGCATGCTTGGAAAGTCCTACCTTTCTCCTCACTTTCTGCTGCCTGTGCCTTCCCAGATCTCTGGAGATTCCCCCCCCCAGCCGTTTTGGGAGGTAAAGGCTTTCCCCCCCTTCCCAGCTGTTTTGGAAGCTTCCCCCCCACTCCCAGCTCTTTAAGCAGCTTTCTCCCCCCACAGCTGTTTTGGGAGGCAAAGGCTTTTTTTCCCTTCCCCCCCCAGCCGTTTTGGAAGCTTTCCCCTCCCCCACCCCAGTGGTTTTGGGAGGTAAAGCCTTCCCCCCCAGTCAGTGGTGGGATTCAATTTTTTTAACAACCAATTCTGTGGGTGTGGTTTATTTCGGTGGGGGTAGCTTGGTGGTCATGTGACTGGGTGGGCGTGGCTAGCTGATCATGTGACCGGGTGGCACATGAAGGACTACTCAAAGGGCTGAAAAAAGTCATTTCTGACCGGTCCTCGCACTTTTGACTGGTCCTCACACTTATGACCATCCTCACATTTATGGCCGTTGCAGCATTCTTAACAACCATGTGTTGGTTATCACCTTCAAAGCACTCCATGGCATCGGGCCTAGCTATCTTCGAGACCGCCTGCTGCTACCGACGACCTCCCATCGTCCCGTGCCCTCCCACAGAGAGGGCCTCCTCAGGGTGCCATCAGCCAATCAATGTAGGCTGGTGACTCCCAGGGGGAGGGCCTTCTCTGTGGGGGCACCTACCCTCTGGAATCAGTTGCCCCCAGAGATAAGGAGAATCCAAGACCTTAGTGCCTTCCGCCGTGCCCTTAAAACCCACTTTTTCCAGCAAGCTGGGCTGGCTTAAGAAGAAATTTTAAATGTTTTAATTGGTTTGTATTTTTAATTTTGGGCCAAATTTATATATATTTTAATTGTTTTTAATATTTGTATTTCATGTTTTTTAATTCTGGCTGTACACCGCCCTGAGTCCTCAGGGAGAAGGGCGGTATATAAATTTAAAAATAAATAAATAAATAAATAAATAAATAAATAAATAAATAAATAAATAAATAAATAAATAAATGTCACTCATTTCACAACTGCTTCTCTTCACCATGGTGACAAGATACGGCAAAAAATGTAAAGTGTGAGGACAGTCATAAGTGCGAGGACTGGTCAAAAGTGTGAGGACAGGTCAAAAATAACTTTTTCAGCCCTCTGAGTAGTCCTTATGCAGATAGGGACTACCCAGAGGGCTGAAAAAAGTGATTTCTGACAGGTCCTCGCTTTTGATTGTTCCTCACACTTATGACTGTTCGTCATTTATGCCCATTGTAGCATTCTTAACAACCATGTCACTCATTTCACAATTGCGGTGCTTCATGTGACTGGGTGGGCGTGGCCAGGTGGTCATGTGGCATCGCTTCTTTGCCCTAATGACTGTTTGCTGCAATGGTCATAAGTGTGAAAAACGGTCATAAGTCACTTTTTCCAGTGCCATTGTAACTGTTGTAAATCAAGGATTACCTATACAAAAATACAAAAAGCTGCTTTGTTTGCAAAAAGCTGCCCTAAATACCAATCATTAGATTAGAAATACCTGCAAACTGGAGTTACAAATCAGGGAGGGTGCCAGAGCACCTTGAGGAATTAAAATAGTTAAAATGCAATGATAACTATCAGCAGCCAACTCTTGCTCATAAAGTGAAACCCTTTAGCGGAGAGGTCATTTAAGTTCTCCAGAATGAAGCAAAGGAGCAAAGAGAGTATCTGTTGCTTGTTAAACCAATTACCAGAACAATAGACACAGAACTAGTCAGATTTCCAAAGCTGCTTCTTTTCAGGAACAGAGATTAACATTTTTCCTTCCAAACAAAGCTGAATAGGGAAAATTATCCCATCACTAAACACAGGATTAAACTTCACCAAAACCCAGTTTTGGACCAAAAGTCAGAAAGGGTATGTCAACTCCCGTTTGAATGTCAATCTTTCTAGCTAGCCAGGAAGCCTTGCTGAATGTCACTCATCTTGGTTCCTTGTCATTAAAAGCTTCTGCTTCGTTATTCAATTATTTCTTCAAAGTGCTGATCACTGCACCCTGACTGGAAGAACTCCAACAGGGGGGTATTTCCTCCCAACAGCGGTGTAAAAAGCTTAAAACAACCCTTCCCCTTTAAGAAAGTCAAGCAAAAAAAAAACCCTCCGGAACCGGAAGTGACAGTAAGTCTAGGCATACTGCCGGACAGGCAGTTTCTGTAAGCAGGGCAATAAAGATTAGGCTAGGAAACAATACCGAATGTTTTAATTCCTTACAGGATTAACCCTGTAAAGTGGGAAAAAACAAAAGGAGATTTCTTTTAACAATCAGTTCTCCGAACTGCTTAACTACTTAACTACTGGTTCTACCGAACCGGTGCGAACCTGTAGAATCCCACCACTGCCCCCAGTGCTGTTTTGGGATGTGAGGCCAAAAGAAGGGGGTTTGTGTAGGGGTCGCGTGCGCATGCGGGGGGGGGGGTCCTGCGCATGTGCAGAGGGGTGGGGCATGCGGGAGGGATAAGTCAGAACATAGAGACAAGTCAGTACAGAATAGCCATTCCCATGCCATATTGTGAGTTCCCTCACTCACAAAACCATGGACAGCTACCCTCTGTAAGTAACCATTCTAACAATTCTGGGGCTTTACCTGTCAACTTTCCCAAACTGCAAATAGATGGAAAAAATCTTCTAGAGTGGAGTCAACAGCTACAGATAGTTTTATGAAAGAAAACTTACTTTTCCTAATATCAGATCCACCCCAGAAACCCTGGACTTTTGAAATTGACTGTAACCACCACAGGGCTTTTTGTATTTTGTTAACCAGTATTTCTCCAACTTTGTGCCCAAGCATAGGGAATCACATGACAGTGCATGAAGTGATACAAAAACTTTATAACCTTTTTTACAGCAGAAGTAGAGCAACCACAACTAGGATTTCCAGAGAATTCGATTCTGCCAGACTTAGACCAGGGGTCCCCATGAGTGAACACCTGTTAAAACTTAACGCAACCAGGACTGAATTAATGCATAGGGGTGAAGCAATCACTGAGGAGAGTATGATGAGTATAGTCATAAACTCTTTAGACCAGCGGTTCTCAACCGGGGGGGTCGCAACTCCTTTGGGGGGGTCGAACGGCCATTTCACAGGGGTCGCCAAAGCCCTCTCTCACCCCCCCATGCCTTCACTCACCCTCACTTTCTGCTCTGTTGGATCGCCGGCCGTTCGCTTACCCTGCCCACTCCCAATCTATTGCTGCCTCCTGAGTCCCAGCTGATGGCTAGAGGAAAAAAAACTGTTTAAATTCTTGCCGCGGGGCTTCAAAGGGCCGCCCTATAGCCAGTGGTGCAGCTGAACCATTTGTTAAATTGCTGGCTTGCCCCGCCCCTTCGCACCACTATTTATTGCCAATAAATAGTGGTGGGCGAGGGGCGGGTGAGCCAGCAATTTAACAAATGGTTCGGTGTTTGTTTGTAATTTTATTGGCCCGCGGAGCTTCAGCATAGGCTAATTAGACTTTGATTAGATTGGCTCCCGACTCTCAGCTGATTTGCTCTCAGCTGTTTTGCTCAGGGCTCTGCTGCTTGTTTGCAAAGAGTGCTGGAGCAATTTTTTTCCCCTAGCTATGCTGGAAAACGAAACTGAAAGTAAAGCAGGCTGTTGGCTTTGCTGTTGCTACAATGTTGGAAAATTAGGCAGGCAGATTTCTTTTCTTTTTCCTCACCAAAAAAGGTAGGTGCAAACAATGGGAAATTTAGGGGAAAAGTGGAGAGTTCAAGATTTTAAAACACAAAAGAAAAAAAGCTCTATTTAACTAGGGAATTGTAATAATTGAGATACTATTAATTGTATATTGTGTTGAAAGCAGAAATGGTTAAGTTGTGGTTTGGAGAAATATATGGGGGAAATTATTTGGTTTATTATTATTGGTAAATATAATTAATTGATTTGTAAGAAATTGGATTGCATGGAAATAATTGGAATATTCATGTTCATATTGATTAATATACAAAAAAGGTAGTTATATAACTAATTGATTTATATTAAAATGTTGAATTTATATTAAACAACTGTAATATTACATAATTAACCAATGTGAGGATGGATATAAAAATAGATGACAATGGGAAGGGGCATAATATAGAATAGAAGGGAAAAATTGAATTTGATTAAGATTAGAAATGAGGATGAAGGGTAATATTGTTTTTTTTACAAAAATAGATGAGGAATAAATATGGCAAAAAGGAAATATAGAAATTGTAAATTTAATTGAAATGACTAAACAGTTTAAATTTGTGAACCGGCCAAATACTCTGTTCAAAGTGTTGGAAAAAATCTCCTTCTAGGTTCTGCTCCAAGTGGGGAAAAAGACACTGGAAACATGGAGATTGCTTGGAAAGATGGTTTAATGGTGGACAGGATCACATGGCTTGAGTTCCTGAACAGAAAAGGGCAGATACAGTAAATCCTCGGGTTTTTATGCTCTCTCTGGCTCTGCATTTCTTGGGGCCACGAAAGAGTATCCTGATTGGTTGTCAGACTCCCAGGGGGTGGGGATCTTAACTAGCCTTGCTGGCTGATGGTCACATGTGCTTCCCAGGTCACATGTGGTGACTTTCTGTTGCTAGATGGGTAAAGATCCTATCTTTATTGGATCTTGGGCAATTCCTACTATGGCTCTGCCTGAAGGAGGTAGATCTTTGTTATGTAGAATAGACTGGCCCAGGCCTTAATGGCCCATTGACAAAGGGTGGGGGCAGGAAGATGGGAGCTGCTTCAAAACATGCTTATCCCAGGGAAATATAATATTCTGCCTTTTTCATATTTCCTAAAATATTTCACTCTTCCAGGAAAGGGGTGGGTGCTAACTTCCTACAAAAGAAAATACATTGTATGTTTGTATGTGTGTTTCTAATTATTGTTATTTATTCATATTTATTCTCTTTTATTCCTTAAAGTTTAACAATTCATTCTTTATCTTAATATCTTTATATTTGTTTGGGGTTGGCTTTCTTCCTTTTCATCTTTTTTTATTGTACAGCAATCTTTTTCCTCAAACCTACCACCTCTCTCTTTCTTTCCTTCTTACTTTCTCTTCCTCCCCCTCTTCTTCTCCTCCCTACTTCCTCTTCCTTTCTCTCTTCTCCTCCTCTCTTCTCCTCCCTCTCTTACCCTCACTCCTACTCTAATTTCCCTTTCCTTCCTTCATCCCTCTCTATTGCTGTATCCTTTTATGCATATGGACTACTCAGAGGGCTGAAAAAGTTATTTCTGACTGGTCCTCGCACTTTTGACCAGTCCTCCAACTTACGACTGTCCTTACATTTTATGTTTTTGCCCTATCTTGTCACCATGGTGAAGAGAAGCAGTTGTGAAATGAGTGACATGGTTGTTAAGAATGCTACAATGGGCATAAATGATGACCGGTCATAAGTGCGAAGACCGGTCAAAAGTGCGAGGACCTGTCAGAAATCACTTTTTTCAGCCCTCTGGGTAGTCCTTTTGTGCACATGGACTACTCAGAAGGCTGAAAAAGTTATTTTTGACTGGTCCTCGCACTTTTGAGTCTGTTTATCAAAAGCCGCAAATAACCTAGTGTGGTTTGATGATTTACTTACTGACATCTGGGCCGAACCAACATACCCCATAGTCATACATGTAGACAACAAGGCAGCTATAGAAAAATCAAAAGCAGATGCCGTGGGACAGAGATCAAGGCACATCGACATAAAATATAAACACGTTAGGCAATTCTCAGAAATGGGGTTTATTAAAGCCCAAAGTGACACTGAACAACAAACAGCAGACATACTTACAAACCCACTACCTCAAAAGCAACACGCATATCTCACATCAAAAATATGTGTATATATGTAGATAATGTGTTTTATGTACCTAACATGTATGTTCACAGATATCATATGTCCGCCGTTAATTAGACATTTAGAGGGGGATTTGTCAGGGTAAATGTCTAATTCTCCCAGGCAGGGGCTGGCACCTCCCCATATCCCATCATACCCCCTTACCTCAGAATCCTCCCCTGGTGTATAAAAGGGTCCTACACGTGGGCATCCAGCAGTTCCAGATGTGTGCCTGCAAAGACAAGACAGAGGTCAGTGACCTTTACCCTGAATTGGGCCTAGGAGGACTCCAGGCCTAGAATAAAGAATCAATGAAGAGATACCATTGTCTCCTGTGAGTTATTGGGTTAGATCCATCCAGCATTAACATATCAAATTGGCATATTCCTGATGGAAAATTGGCGCCAGTTTTTCCCCCAATTAAAAGTAAAACTTTATCACTTCCCCCAGAGTCTCAGTCACATGGTCCAATCAGCATACAGCCCAGTTGCTAGATGACCTCAGTCTCTACCCTGCAGACACCCGCATGAACATCCTTGATTCCCAGGGGAAAGAATTTTATTTTGACTACAACACCCCAGCTAATTTCTAAAACCCCACCTCTGGCCCCTTCATTCCAGGCTGTATCAGCCCTGAAGGAGTGAGAAAAGAAACCTCCCTAGAGACTACAAAAAAGAAAATGGCCACAGTTCAGCCAACTTGCAAAATGGAAGGTCCTCACCCATTATTTCTTCTCCACTTTCTCCTGACATCAACCCAACCAGAACATAGCATATAAGTGATGCTTGCGTTCTCTGCAAATGACTCTGCTTAGGCTGCAGACAGACCTTTTAGCTGGAGGACATCCTGTCTGCCTTCTTTTGGTAGATGAGCCTGTTGATCTGGAGACTTGACCCTGGTTCCCTTGCTTTCACCTGATCTTCTGCTGTACCCACTGTGCACCTGCGGAGTTTTTTTCTCAGCTGCTTCAACAACGGAGTATGAAAGGGGACTTCTAGATGACCTAGACCAGGATGTTGTCTTTCCAGGTGCAGTACCGGCAGCTGTTCCAAATGGTGATTGTATTAGGAATGAGTGGTACCCTCCTTATTGGCTTCCAGGTCTCTGTGATCACCTATCCATCCCAGGTAAGTCACAGAAGTTTTTGCAACTCAGTATCTGCAGTCCCAAAGCACAATATGGCCTTAAGAGAGCTGGTAAGGTCTCCATTAGGAGACAATCTATGCAGCTGAACACACAAATCCTAGCGCAAGCAGCTTTCTGGCCACTCTCCTTTCCTCTTGGTGTCCTTCTCCAGCTTCACCCTGCTGCCAGTCATTCAACTGTTGCCTCTGCTGGGCCAAAAAACACCTCTCATGGGCACTTCTGTTAGCACAATATATACCACCCATCCTCCCTTCAGTCGTCAGATCAGGGAGGCCTAGAGGTGACATCACATCATGCCTCCATGCACAAGCTTTCACATGACTTCTATCCAGGGTAGAAACTTCTCTGTTTTTTATACAATGAATATCCTGTGTGGTAGAGAGTTGAACCCCATAGAATAACAACTGGCCAGTCACCACTCTGATGAGTCCCAGTAAGGATGCAACTGGTGACGGGATGCTTTCCTTTTTCTTTCTTTTTTTTTGTAAAAAGTTTTTTTTTTTTTTTACACAAACACACATACAAACATACAATATATTTTTTCTGAACAGAGTATTGGCCGGTTCACAAATTTAAACAATTTTTAGTCATTTCAACTAAATTTGTATTTGTAATTGTATTTATTAAACTTCTATACCGCCCTTCTCCTGAAGGAATGAGCCATATTACAGCCATATTAAAACAAACATATACTCACAAAACAATTTAAAATAAATAAATAAATTTGGCCCTTATGTTAAAAGCTACAAACACCCAATTTAAAATTCATTTTCTAAGCCAGCCCAGCCTGTTGGAACAAAAGAGTCTTAAGGTACAATTACTATTTCTATACTTTTTTTTTTTTGCCATAATATTTCTTTTCTCTATTTTTTTAAAAACCAATATTACCCTTCATATCCAGTGGTGGGATTCTACCGGTTCGTTAGAACCGGTTGTTAAGTAGTTAAGCAGTTCGGAGAACTGGTTGTTAAAAGAAATCTCCTTTTGTTTTTTTTCCACTTAACAGGGTTAATCCTGTAAGGAATTAAAACATTTGGTGTTGTTTCCTAGCCTAATCTTTATTGCCCTGCTTACAGAAACTCCGGCAGTATGCCTAGACTTAGTGTCACGTCTGGTTCCGGAGGTTCTCGGAGGTTTTTTTGAGTTTTTTTGCTTGACTTTCTTAAAGGGGAAGGGTTGTTTTAAGCTTTTTACACCGCTGTTGGGAGGAAATACTCCCCTGTTGGAGTTCTTCCAGCCAGGGTGCAATGATCAGCACTTTGAAGAAATAATTGAATAACGAAGCAGAAGCTTTTAATGACAAGGAACCAAGATGAGTGACATTCAGCAAGGCTTCCTGGCTAGCTAGAAAGATTGACATTCAAACGTGAGTTTACATACCCTTTCTGACTTTTGGTCTAAAACTGGTTTTTGGTGAAGTTTAAGTGCTTGGTGATGTTTAATCCTGTGTTTAGTGATGGGATAATTCAGCTTTGTTTGGAAGTGTTAATCTCTGTTCCTGAAAAGAAGCAGCTTTGGAAATCTGACTAGTTCTGTGTCTATTTGTTCTGGTAATTGGTTTAACAAGCAACAGATACCCTGTTTGCTCCTTTGCTTCATTCTGGAGAACTTAAATGACCTCTCCGCTAAAGGGTTTCACTTTATAAGAGTTGGGTGCTGATAGTTATCATTGCATTTTAACTATTTTAATTCCTCAAGGTGATCTGGCACCCTCCCTGATTTGTAACTCCAGTTTGCAGGTATTTCTAATCTAATGATTGGTATTTAGGGCAGCTTTTTGCAAGCAAAGAAGCTTTTTGTATTTTTGTACAGGTAATCCTTGATTTACAGCATTTACAATGGCACTGGAAAAAGTGACTTATGACCGTTTTTCACACTTACGACCATTGCAGCAAACTGTCATTAGGGCAAAGAAGCGATGCCACATGACCACCTGGCCACGCCCACCCAGTCACATGAAGCACCACAGTTGTGAAATGAGTGACACGGTTGTTAAGAATGCTGCAACGGGCATAAATGATGACCAGTCAAAAGTGCGAGGACCTGTCAGAAATCACTTTTTTCAGCCCTCTGGGTAGTCCTTTTGTGCATATGGACTACTCAGAGGGCTGAAAAAGTTATTTTTGACTGGTCCTCGCACTTTTGACTAGTCCTCGTACTTACGACTGTCCTCACATTTTACGTTTTTCGCCCTATCTTGTCACCGTGGTGAAGAGAAGCAGTTGTGAAATGAGTGACACGGTTGTTAAGAATGCTACAATGGGCATAAATGTGAGGATGGTCATAAGTGTGAGGACCAGTCAAAAGTGTGAGGACCAATCAGAAAAACTTTTTTCAGCTGTTTGAGTAGTCCCTATACACAAAGCCACGGCCACCCGGTCACATGATCAACTAGCCATGCCCACCCAGTCACATGACCTCCAAGCCATGCCACCCAAATAAGCCACACCCACAGAACCAGTTGTTAAAAAAATTGAATCCCACCACTGGTTACAGTCCTTGGAGGCCATTCCAATACCCCCATAATTTCATATCATGATCTGGATGCTTGGCAACCCTTGTGCACTTTCAACTGGTTACCAAGCACACCGTAATCACTTGCTCACCACCTGCAAACTTTCCGGTTGGCTTCCCCAGAAAATCAGTGAGGAAGCCAAGTTGCGGGGGGTAAATAACCCCCACCTGTGCACCCTCTTCCATCTTCTCTGTGCTAGCTTCACACTGGACATTTGCACACCCCCACACACCTTTGCACATCCTCATTGCATCTTTGTGAAACCTCCCCAACCTGCATGTTGCCTCCTGTGCCCTCCACAACACATGTGGCACCCTTGAATCCTTGTGAGCTCTTTGATCTGCATGGCACCTCTCATGGACCCACATACATCCCCACATTCTTGTATACCCTTCCCCAACTGCTTTCACTGGTAGAGGGCTGCAGGAGGCCATTGTGACCGAAAACGGAGATTGGGAGCCCATTTTCGCTGGCAGAGCATTCAGGCCATCACAGGCACTCCCGACACAAGTGACATCAAGCTGGCCACGCCCACCCTGGCCACACCCACCTTGTCCCCTGAGGTCAAACACAACCCTGATGCGGCCCTCAATGAAATCAAGTTTGATACTCCTGCCCTATACCATTCCCGACAAGTATTGTCCAGTCTCTTCTTAAAAGCCTCCAGTGGTAGAGCACCCACAACTTCTGAAAACAAGAAATTTAACATTGACCTAATCTGTATTAATATACAATTTGTAATTTTTTATTGTTTAATTCAATTATAATCTATATGTTATTTTATATTGTATAATCTCAAACGTATGAGGCCGGACTTTATAGTATGCTATATTTGTAGGGGCTGTTGTATATCACCAATAAAAAAAATTAAAAACCTGTTTATTGAATTAAGCCATTTCCTGTATTGACACAATATACTCATTCATCCAGGTTATCGAGATTCATATAATGTAAATTAATACATGAAAAACTGATTCAGGTTGTGTTATCCTACAAGATTTGCAACCAGCCTGGTAGTTGAACACAATCTTGCTTGTTTTCCTAGGACATCAAGAGTTTCATCAATGAGACGTGGCTGCAGCGATATGGTGTGTCTCTCCCGCCAGATAGGCTGGCTGTGTTGTGGTCCTTCATCATCTCCATCTACTGCCTGGGGGGTCTTTTGGGCTGTTTATGGAGCGGCTCACTGGCTGTGAGATACGGAAAGTATGGCTTTTCCTCAAGACAAAGTTTTCATGATGGCCCCTTGTCTTATAGCTGTGAGATTTTCTCACGTATGTTGATGTTGGTGACTATATAATTAGGAGAGTTCTCATTTTCCCTCCCTCTTAAATTAGAACTGAAAGCCTTGAAATGAGCTTGAGTTTCAGAGAAATCACTCAACAGTGAGAAATACACAGTGGTTGGAGTCTCTAATTAACAACCGATTGTGGTTTATTTCAGAAAGAAAACTTTAATTTGCAGCAATTTTATTATAATCGTGGGAGCTCTTCTTATTGGTTCCAGTAAGATGGCCAGGTCTTTTGAAATTATTCTAATGGGCCGTTTCCTTTATGGCATCAGTGCAGGTATGATTGGGAGGAGGGTGCAACTTCTGATCCTCGAGGAAACCAAATACATCCCCTAAATCAGAAGGGACAGGTATGTGGGGGAGACCTTTTGATTCCGGTGATTCTTCTCTTGAAGGACTCTGCCTGAATATCCATGGGCCCTATCTCGGTGAAATTTCCCCCAAGAAGTTCCGAGGCCTGGCCACCACCACAGCAGCTATATTTTTCTCCCTTGGAAAAGCGTTGGGGCAAATCCTGGGCTTAAGGTAAGCTCACCACCCATGAGCCTATCCAGTCAGACAAGCTCTTGCCCTTCCACCTTCCATTCCCATTGAAGGCTAACAATTTTGGCTGTCCTGGGCTGTTGATTTCCCATCTGCTCTGCCAACGAGAAAGCTGGTCTTCTCGTTTCCTTTAGACTGATATGAAAATTCCCTCTGAGGAATAAATTGTTCTCCCTTTTGGCGTTCTCAAGGGGTCCTCAGTTCAGGCTGCAATGGTGGGAAGGGCACTTTGGTCAAAGAGATGGTGCCAGCTTCACCCCCTTCACTTTGGCTCCCTCCAGTCATCCAACCCCTTCAGAGAGAAAAACGGTGTCTCTTTCTCTCCTCCACATCTCCTCAGAGACCTTTTAGGCACCGAGGCCCTGTGGCCCCTCCTGCTGGCCCTGTGTGGCTTCCCAGCCCTGCTGCAGCTGCTGCTGCTGCCGTTTTTCCCGGAGTCACCCCTGTACTTCCTGATACAGAGGAAGGATGCCGATGCCTGCCGAAAAGGTGACACATGTCTTCTCCTGCGGGAAAGAACCTCTTTGTGCTTAGCTAAAAGTGGCCATTTAACCATTATGCCAGAATTAACCCAGAATCGCTTTCCATGAGAAGGGCAGCCATATAAATGTGACTAATAAATAAATTAATAAATAAGGATGATGTGGGTAAGGAAGAATTAAATAAGACCAGAAAAGAGATACTTAAAAGACAACTATTACCACATTCAGTGATGAACCAGTTATAGCCAGGCCAATCACAACTTTTCAGTGGAGACCTGTTGGTGTCCTTCAACAGCCCCAGGTGGTGGACAAGTGGTGGTGGGCTCACAGGCAGCCCTGCTTTCTTTATGTTGGCTTTTGTTAAGGATTTTGTTGTGTTACCAACCAGCAGAGTAAGTGCACAGAGAAACGGTACTGAGAGCAATGAATACAATACATACAAACTGGTTTAACAAAGCTTTTACTTTGTAGTGAAAAACAATTGCATAGTCTTTTTATCAATCCAAGTCTTTAGCCATTCAAATCAATCCGAAGTTACAGATATCTTCTTACCATACATAGCAGTTGGTAATAAACAGCAATTCAACGCTGGTAACAAATCACGATGGTAACAGATCCATCCACTTCTTCACACATGACAGTAACAGTTTCAACCAGCAAGTCAAGCAATGATGAGAGCAAGTCCAACAATGACTATAGCTCGGCTTCCTTCTTATATACAGTTTACACTAGTAATTATCCACTTAAGATAAGTGAAGTCAGCAGTGCAATGACTCAACAGTACAATTATGATAATTGCAGTCAGCATTCAGTCAGCAGTCATTAGTCATTACAATGACTCAGCTATACAATTACTCAGCATTACATTTAAAGTTATAGAACACATATATTGCCTGGACAACTTGTTAGACTTACACCCATATCCTAACAGCTTTCTTCTCACATGAACTGCTTATTACTATATTTATTACTATTTATTTACTATACTTATTACTATTGCATCCAAAGAGTTTTGAAGAAGAAAAGTAACAGTTCCATTTTATTCTGCATTGCTAACACCTTGGCTTCTGCCTTCAGTTCTGGCACAAGATGGACTCACAGAAACAGGAATTGCTTTAAAGCAGTGGTTCTCAACCTCCTAATGCTGCGACCCTTTAATACAGTTCCTCATGTTGTGGTGACCCCTCAACCAGGGGTGTGTTCTAATTTTTTTTACTACTGGTTCTGTGGGCATGGCTTATTTTGTGGGCGTGACTTGGAGGTCATGTGACCGGGTGGGCATGGCTAGCTGGTCATGTGACCGGGTGGCCATGGCTATGTGTATAGGGACTACTCAGAGGGCTGAAAAAAGTCATTTCTGACAGGTCCTCGCACTTTTGACTGGTCCTCACACTTATGACCATCCTCACATTTATGCCCGTGCAGCTTTCTTAACAACCATGTCTCTCATTTCCCAACTGCTTCTTTTCACCATGGTGATAAGATAGGGCAAAAAATGTAAACTGTGAGGATAGACGTAAATTCAAGATCTGGTCAAAAGTGCGAGGACCAGTCAAAAATAACTTTTTCAGCCTTCTGAGTAGTCCATGTGCACAAAAGGACTACCCAGAGGGCTGAAAAAAGTGATTTCTGACAGGTCCTCGCACTTTTGACCGGTCTTCGCACTTATGACTGGTCATCATTTATGCCCATTGTAGCATTCTTAACAACCGTGTCACTCATTTCACAAGTACTTCTCTTCACCAAAGATAGGGCAAAAACATAAAATGTGAGGACAGTCGTAAGTTGGAGGACTGGTCAAAAGTGCGAGGACCAGTCAGAAATAACTTTTTCAGCCCTCTGAGTAGTCCATATGCATAAAAGGATACAGCAATAGAGAGGGATGAAGGAAGGGAAGGGAAATTAGAGTAGGAGTGAGGGTAAGAGAGGGAGGAAGAGAGGAGGAGAAGGAGAAAGGAAGAGGAAGTAGGGAGGAGAAGAAGAGGGGGAGGAAGAGAAAGTAAGAAGGAAAGAAAAGAGAGAGGTGGTAGGTTTGAGGAGAAAGATTGCTGTACAATAAAAAAGATGAAAGGGAAGAAAGCCAACCCCAAACAAATATAAAGATATTAAGATAAAGAATGAATTGTTAAACTTTAAGGAATAAAAGAGAATAAATATGAATAAATAATAATAATTAGAAACACAAATACAAACATACAACGTATTTTCTTTTGTAGGAAGTTAGCACCCACCCCTTTCCTGGAAGAGTGAAATATTTTAGGAAATATGAAAAAGGCAGAATATTATATTTCCCTGGGATAAGCATGTTTTGAAGCAGCTCCCATCTTCCTGCCCCCACCCTTTGTCAATGGGCCATTAAGGCCTGGGCCAGTCTATTCTACATAACAAAGATCTACCTCCTTCAGGCAGAGTCATAGTAGGAATTGCCCAAGATCCAATAAAGATAGGATTAGCTCTCTACCCATCTAGCAACAGAAAGTCACCACATGTGACCTGGGAAGCACATGTGACCATCAGCCAGCAAGGCTAGTTAAGATCCCCACCCCCTGGGAGTCTGACAACCAATCAGGATACTCTTTCGTGGCCCCAAGAAATGCAGAGCCAGAGAGAGCATAAAAACCCGAGGATTTACTGTATCTGCCTGCCCTTTTCTGTTCAGGAACTCAAGCCATGTGATCCTGTCCACCATTAAACCATCTTTCCAAGCAGTCTCCATGTTTCCAGTGTCTTTTTCCCCACTTGGAGCAGAACCTAGAAGGAGATTTCTTCCAACACTTTGAACAGAGTATTTGGCTGGTTCACAAATTTAAACAGTGTTTAGTCATTTCAATTAAATTTACAATTTCTATATTTCCTTTTTGCCATATTTATTCCTCATCTATTTTTGTAAAAAACCAATATTACCCTTCATCCTCATCTCTAATCTTAATCAAATTCAATTTTTCCCTTCTATTCTATATTATGCCCCTTCCCATTGTCATCTATTTTTATATCCATCCTCACATTGGTTATTTATGTAATATTACAGTTGTTTAATATAAATTCAACATTTTAATATAAATCAATTAGTTATATAACTACCTTTTTTGTATATTAATCAATATGAACATGAATATTCCAATTATTTCTATGCAATCCAATTTCTTACAAATCAATTAATTATATTTACCAATAATAATAAACCAAATAATTTCCCCCATATATTCCTCCAAACCACAACTTAACCATTTCTGCTTTCAACACAATATACAATTACTAGTATCTCAATTATTACAATTCCCTAGTTAAATAGAGCTTTTTTTCTTTTGTGTTTTAAAATCTTGAACTTTCCTCTTTTCCCCTAAATTTCCCATTGTTTGCACCTACCTTTTTTGGTGAGGAAAAAGAAAAGAAATCTGCCTGCCTAATTTTCCAACTTGCAGCAACAGCAAAACCAACAGCCTCTTTACTTTCAGTTTTGTTTTTCAGCATAGCTAGGGGAAAACAAATCTGCTCAAGCAAGCAGCAGAGCCCTGAGTAAAACAGCTGAGAGCAAATCAGCTGAGAGTCGGGAGCCGATCTAATCAAGGGCTAATTAGCCTATGCTGAAGCGCCGCGGGCCAATAAAATTACAAAAAAACACCGAACCATTTGTTAAATTGCTGGCTCGCCCGCCCCTCGCCCACCACTATTTATTGGCAATAAATAGTGGTACGGAGGGGTGGGCAAGCCAGCAATTTAACAAATGGTTCAGCTGCACCACTGGCTATAGGGCAGCCCTTTGAAGCCCCGCGGCAAGAATTTAAACAGTTTTTTTTCCTCTAGCCATCAGCTGGGACTCAGGAGGCAGCAATAGATTGGGAGTGGGGGGGGTAAGCGAACGGCCGGCGATCCAACAGAGCAGAAAGTGAGGGTGAGTGAAGGCATGGGGGGGGGTGAGAGAGGGCTTTGGCAACCCCTGTGAAATGGCCGTTTGACCCCCCAAAGGGGTTGCGACCCCCCCGGTTGAGAACTGCTGCTTTAAAGGGTCACAAAAGGGTTATGAGGGACCTATGACTAAATACCATGAAGAGAGAGGGAAGAAATTGGGATTTTGATGATGAAATTATGGTGATTAGACAAATTGCTAACTTGCTTTTCCTGTGGGGAAAGCTGCAGTTTACGAGCAGCATCTCTCTTAATTTTATTCTCAAACTTGAGTATGTTTTTAAGAAGGAAACTTGAAAATGTTTGTCAGGAATGCTTTTCAGGAAAGAGAAAAATCCCCATTGATGACAATGGATGCCAGTGATTCAGAAGAGAGGGGGCTACAAAGCAATTCCTGTTTGCCCCTCTTATACCCTGGCTAAAATAGAAAGTATGAAAATGTTGTATTTTTGTAACAAGTTTTAGTATTGAAAATGCCCCAATGTTTGGAGCAACAGGGCTCTGCAAATGAAAATGGAGACCAGGATTAAATGTCTGTGGTGCCTCAGCCCAGAAAGTCAAATTAAGAGACTGAATCATCCCACCCTCCGGGATGGGGGTGGGGTGTGTTAGGGTTAGTTTTCTCTACTCCTTTTGAAAATTGAAGTGATATTTGTTTTCCTCTAGTTTTTTGGGACCTCCCCATCTAGGGCCTGCCAAATTGCTTAAGATAAGCAATTGAATCTGCTGGAAACCATGAATAACCTAAGGCCCATTTTGGCACAGTATTAAATATGGAGCTCTACTTGCCAGATGATGTATAGTTACAAAAAAGTACAAGGAAATTTTCTTTAAAATGTTATCATGGTTTTGAGGTGTTCTTTAAAAATCTGATTAATACTGTAGGTATTCAGAATCTCCACAAATATAACAGCATATAAAATGTGCTTTTTTTTAAAAAAAAAATGTGAATGATCTAATATGATGCTATTTCAAAAGTCAGTTCCAATTCTCTCTATAAACATTAGGCACAGGAAACCAGAAACAGGAGTTGGGTTCAAAGCACTAAGAGTTTATTTAGCTACCTATAAAAAAAACCTGATCTATTAACCGTCAAGCCAAATTGGTGCTAGATAAGGATCAAAGAAATTCACAGGGAGCTGAACTTGGGTCTCTTGTAGCTGCACAGTGATTTCAAACTGATGACACATTTAACCCTACAGAAATTTATCTTGTTGAATCAGCTAAATGTGATTTTTTTGGGGAGGATGAATATTTGAATTGTTTTTCTCTCCCTTCTCCCCAAAGCAATGAAAGACCTCTGGGGTGAAAGGCATCAGCAAACGGAAATCGAGGAGGCATTGAAAGAGATGGCCATTGCAGGCTCCAAGAACTTGAGTATCTGGGAAGTGGTGAGACAGCCCAGCTTGCGATGGCCATTGCTTATCGCCATTCTGCTGGTTGCAAGTTTGCAGCTCTGTGGCCTGAGTGCAGTTGAGTAGAATACTATTCGGAAACAGTTAAGAAATGACCTTTCCTTCCCTTTTTTGATGTTGCTATTTGTAGACAAGGCCAACAGGACTATGCCTTCCTCTTGGTGCTCCATACATAGGCAAGTGGTTCTAAGAAGGAAGAAGAGAGGAATTATGCGATTTGGCCCAGGCCTAGCCTGTTTTTTGTTTTTTTTTACCCCAAGGCATTCAGCAGGACCAGGGACAGTTACTAATTTTCTTGTATTTCCATTTCTTCCCAAGGACCCCCAAAACTTATTTCTGATCAACATATTTTCACATCTCCTTTTCAAATTAGTTTTTTACCTAACTTTTTAAATAATGGTATTTAATCCTTGCCTCTAAACAATGACTAAAGATGCATGGGCTGTCTAGTTCGTCAATAAAGATGGTAATAAGGTCAGGTCTTGGCCTTCTTTAAGAATTAGTGCTCTATTTGCATCTGTCCAACTTTCTGGTATCCGTCCTCCATCCAGAATTGATTTCATCATCTTTTCAAATAAATTGTAATAGTTAGTCTTCAAAATATTTATAATAGGAGGCTGGTAATTCTTCTGGGCCAGCCTTTTCTCATAGATTTCCCTTATTATTCTTATTATTATAGGTCCATTCATCAGGTGTTTATTCATTCACGTTGGTAAATTTTGTTTCTTTAAATATTTATTTTTGCCAGAGGAATTTCTTCTCCTTCATAACATCAGTATTATACATCAGATTGGTAAAGGTTTCCCCTGTCCAATTGTTTCCAGCTCTAGAGGAAGATGCTCATATCCATTTCTTAGCTGAGGGAGCCAGCGTTGTCTGAATACTCTTCTGGCATCATGGGGCCAGCATGACTATGCATTAAGGCACACAGAACTCTGTTTCCTTCCCACTGAAGTGGTACCAATTTATTGAGTCATATTGCATGCTTTCAATTACTAGGTGGGGCAAAAACAGGAACCCCCCCCCCAATGCAGTGCTCAGGTCTTGAACCCAGGTTGTCAGCTTTCTAGCTGATGAGCTCAGCATCTTTAACTGCCGAGCCTCTTGTTTGCATAATTTACATTATCAATTACCATAGCATTTCCATTTTGCAATTTTAATATCATTTTCTTTTCACTTTTTTCAGTTTATAAGCCATTTTCCCAGCTTATTTGCTATTTCAAAATCTTTCTGTTTAGCAAATATCATTTTTATTTCCATTTCTTTAATTATTAACATGGAAAATTTGTGGAAGTTTAATTTTTTTGGTGAGATTTTTTTCTTTCTGGATGCCTGTTTGATTCCTCCTCTTTTATTTTTATTCCCTTTAAATGCCTTTTCTTTGTCTTTTCAATTTACCATTTTGCAGTACAAATTGTCCTCTCCTAAACTTATTTGAGTCTCACAGTGTCCTTATTTCCGTGCTTTTATTTAAATTAATCTCAAAATATTATTTCAGCTTCTTTTTAGTCCTTAATTATTAATTCCTTTTTTAGCCTCCATCTGTAAGTTCTACCCTGCCTCTTCCATATTAAAGTCACTGGGTTATGATCAGTGGTGGGATTCAGCCAGTTTGCACCACTTCGGGAGAACTGGTTGTTAACTTTCTGAACAGTTTGGCAAACTGTTGTTGGTTGTTGGTTGTTGGAAGAAATCATTAGGGCAGAGAACCGGTTGTTAAATTACTTGAATCCCACCACCATCACCACCATCATAACCAGTGTTATGATCTGAAAAAGATTTTCATAATATCTCCATTTTATTGGCTCCCATAGTGAGCTCCTGAGAAATCCAAAGTAGACTTAGACTTAGAATAACTTTATTGTCACTTTAAATGTAATCAGCATACATTGATATGAAATTTTGTTGCATACAGCTCTCAAAGTATATCTATTATTGAGAAGGTTCTGTGACTTTCAGAAAAGTACACATATTCTTTGGCGTTACCATTTTTGTGTCTCCATATCAAAGTTGATAAAGGCACCATTGATGCTGCCGGATTAGGGTTACAATTAGGAAGTAATAACCCAGACTTTGCCCACCACCCAATAGGTGCTTATATCAAGAGATGGGCTGGTTGAAACTAATCCTTTTCAGTGGGTTGTTTTAAGATTGGAAATAGTCCTACAGCCTGGTGTCATCTGCTTGGCAATTCCGCCAAGATGCCTCAGAATCTTGAGGACAGGACTTAATTTGGACTTCTCGGGATACAAGTTGATTTTCTAGAGCTTTGATAGGGAAGCTTGTAGGCTGTGAGTGTCTAACTTCAGGTATGTTCAACTTTTATATTGTAATGAACAGTTTGGCAACAGGAAAAGGAAAACCAGCCTTGAGGAAAAGCTTTGCCATTCAGCAACATGAGATAACTGCAACCCTAAAGGGAAGACTTGATGATAACAATGACAATGGGTAGCCTCTTGTTGCAAAGGCAATTTATAAATAACACATTAAAATAACACATTGGGGAAAAAAAGCTAAAAACAAGCACAAAATGCAACAATGGAGCTTGAAAGTCTGCGTCTCTTGTCCACTACATATACAAAAACCCTTCATCTTGAAAACCTCCAGTCAGGGCCGGATTTAGATTGAAAGAGGCCCTAGGCTATTCCACTTATGAGGCCCTTTCACCAGTGGTGGGATTCAATTTTTTAACAACAGGTTCTGTGGGCGTGGCTTAGTTGGGGGTGTGGCTTGGCAATCATGTGACTGGGTGGGCGTGGCTAGCTGGTCACGTGACTGTGTAGGCGTGGGTAGCTCGTCATGTGACCGGGTGGGCGTGGCTATGTGCATAGACTTTTTTCAGAGGGCTGAAAAAAGTCATTTCTGACTGGGCCTCGCACTTTTGACCGGTCCTCACACTTATGACCATCCTCACATTTATGCCCGTGCAGCTTTCTTAACAACCATGTCACTCATTTCACAACTGCTTCTCTTCACCATGGTGACAAGATAGGGCAAAAATGTAAAATGTGAGGACAGTTGTAAGTTCGAGGACTGGTCAAAAGTGCGAGGACCAGTCAGAAATAACTTTTTCAGCTCTCTGAGTAGTCCATATGCACAAAAGGACTACCCAGAGGGCTGAAAAAAGTCATTTCTGACTGGGCCTCGCACTTTTTTTTTTTTCATTGCAAAAGTTTTACAATTACATTTTCACCCTTTCCCCCCCCCCCCCCCCCCAAACTTCCCAACCTCCCTAACCCTCCCTAACCCTCCCCTCCCCCAGACTTCCCTATAATATACTCATAACTCGTAAAAAAAACCACACACACAAAAAACCCTTAATATAACACTTATGTGTAAACTTGAACCCCTCCCTCCCCTGTATAATTTTTCTTTTTACCTCATTACATTAAAATATTTCTAAAACATTATTTTCAAATAAAAGCAATTTGATACTTTCTAGTTTGATATTTGTTCTGAACATATTCTATCCATCTTTTCCATTCCCATTCATAAGTCTCTTGTGAGCAATCTTTTAAGTATGCTGAAATCTTCGCCATCTCTGCAAAACTGGCCATCTTCAAAGTCCATTCCTCAATAGTGGGCAAAGCTTCATTTTTCCAATATTTACCTATCAACAATCTTGCTGCTGTTATCATATACAATATCAGTTTTGTTTCACCCGATGTAAAACCCTTAACTATACCCAATAAAAACAATTGTGGAGAGAATTGAATTTTTTTCTTCAAAACATTCTGCATGACCCACCAAATTTTTATCCAAAAAGCCTTAACTTTCCTACAGGTCCACCAAACATGATAATACGTAGCATCCAAACATTCACATCTCCAACATTTTGGCTGAACATTAGGGTACATACATGACAACTTTTTGGGATCTAAATGCCATCTATAAAACATTTTATAGAAATTTTCCCTCAAGTTCTGCGACTGTGTAAATTTAACATTCTGAACCCAAATTTTTTCCCATGTTTCCAACATCACTGGTTCTTCAAAATTTTGTGCCCACTTAATCATACAATCTTTAACTAATTCGGTTTCTGAATCCCTTTCTAGCAAAACATTATAAAGCCTTTTGATATGCATTGGACCTTTCTCTTTTTATATGTCTAACCAATTCTTCTTCGTGCAACATAATACCAGTTTTTTGGTCCTCTTTCCATCTCAATTGTAATTGATTATATTGTAACCATGTTAGATTAATCCCTTCGTCCAACAGTGTCTGCAATGTCTTCAGCTGCCATCTGCCCGCATCTGTAAAAAGAACCTCTTTGTATAAAAACCCCCCGAGTGACATTATATTTGTATTCCACAAAGTATGACCAAGATCCAGCCATAGCGGTATTTTATAATCCCATTTGAGTCGGTGCTTCTTCCAAACTCTCATCAACGAGTCTCTAAGTATATGACTTTTAAATTTAAATTTAAACTTTATCAACTTTGTCATCATAAAATAAGTAAGCATGCCATCCAAATTCAAGATCAAAACTTTCTACATTCAATATTCCAGCCTTTTTTACTTTTTACAAACTGTAGGTTTGGAAGTTTAAGACCTCCTCTTTCTGGAACATCTTGCATAATTTTCAATTTCACTCTCGGCTTTTTCTCGTTCCAGACAAACTTATTGAGTCCAGTTTGCCAGACTTTCAATTGTTTATCACTTTTAAGCACCGGAATCATTTGAAACAAAAAAAGAAATCTTGGCAAAATGTTCATCTTAACTGCTGCTATTCTTCCAAGTAGAGACAGCTGCAGTTTTTTCCAAGTCTCCATGTCTTTCTGCACCTCTCGCCACAACACCTCATAGTTATTTTGAAACAATTTCATGTTTGATTCTGCAACCTGAACTCCTAGATATTTTACCTTAGGTACAGTCTCAAAACCTGCCCTCCTTTCAAGCTCATGTTTACGATCTTGTGTCATGTTTTTAGCTATCATTTTAGTCTTTTTTGGATTCAGTCTAAAACCTGAAACTTTACCATAGTCTTGTATAATGTCCTTCATCAAGATTATTGATTCCATTGGTTGTGATAGGGTAACAACCAGATCATCTGCAAATGCCTTTATTCTGTAATCCTCTTGCCTAATAATTATACCTTTCAAGATATTAGAGTCCCGTATTGTATTTAGCAAGACTTCTAGTGTTAGAATAAATAAAAGTGGGGACAACGGACATCCCTGTCTTGTTCCTTTTTCAATTTTAAACTCTGTTGTCAAACTTCCATTAATAATGATCTGTGCCTTTTGCTCTTGGTAAATTGCTGAAATCGCCTGTATAAATTGATCCCCAAAATCCATCTTTTTTAAAGTCTTTAGTAGAAAATTCCAATCCACTCTATCAAAGGCCTTCTCTGCATCCAAAAAGACCAGCACTGCAGGAATCTGTTTATTCTTCTCAAGATATTCCAATAAATCTATTACTTGCCTTACATTATCCTTCATGTGTCTGCCCTCGATAAATCCCGCTTGATCATCATGAATCACCTTTTGGATTACTGGCATCAACCTGTTGGCTAATACTTTCGCATAGATTTTATAATCTGTATTCAAAAGAGATATTGGTCTATAGTTCTCTGGTTTTTTAGGACCGACTTGTTCTTTTGGTATCAAAGATATATAAGCAGTTGTCCATGATGGGGGTATTTTACCCCCTTGTTGAATATTGCAAAATAAATCTCTAAGTTGTCCCACCATTTCAGCTTGCAAAGTTTTGTAATACACTGCGGTCAAACCATCTGTGCCAGGAGCTTTGGCTGTTTTTAACTGTTTAATTGCTACTATTATCTCCTCCTCTGTTATAGGATAATTCATTCTTTCCTTTTGTTGATCAGTAATTTTTGTAACTCTTTTATCGTTTAAATATTTTTCTATAAGTCCATTCTGCACCTCCTCTTTGGCATATAGTTTGGTATAATAGTCCACAAAAGCTTCTTTAATTAATTTTTGTTGAAAGATTTCTTTCCCTCCAATATCAATACTATCAATAGTCCGTATACTTTGTTTTTTCCTCAATGTGTAAGCCAACCATCTGCCCGGTTTATTAGCGTTACAAAATGTATTATGCTTCGCATATTGTAAGTTCGTTGCAACTTGTTCCGCCATAAGCATTTGAAATTGGTCTTTCAAAAGTTTTATAGCACTGCATATTCTTTCATCTGTTATTAATTATAATTAATTAATTAATTATATTTACCAATAATAATAAACCAAATAATTTCCCCCATATATTCCTCCAAACCACAACTTAACCATTTCTGCTTTCAGAAATATACAATTAATAGTATCTCAATTATTACAATTCCCTAGTTAAATACAGCTTTTTTTTCTTTTGTGTTTTAAAATCCTGAACTCTTCTCTTTTTCCCTAAATTTCCCATTGTTTGCACATACCTTTTTTGGTGAGGAAAAAGAAAAGAATTCTGCCTGCCTAATTTTCCAACCTTGCAGCAACAGCAAAGCAGTTTCACTTTCGTTTCTCAGTATAGCTAGGGGAAAAAAAATCAGCACTCTTTGGAAGGAAGCAAAATAGCGGAGACAAATCAGCTGAGAGCCGGGAGGCCAATTAGCCTAAGCTGAAGCTCCGGGGCCAATAAAATTACAAAAAAACAACAACACCGAACCCTTTGTTAAATTGCTGGCTCCCCCGCCCCTCGCCCACCACTATTTATTGGCAATAAATAGTGGTGCGGAGGGGCGGGGGAGCCAGCAATTTAACAAAGGGTTTGGCCGAGCACCTAGAACCCCCAGAATCCCACACTGTGTAGGCCCCTCTGGATCTTGAGGCCCTAGGCTGAAGCCTAGTTAGCCTATAGGAAAATCCAGCCCTGCCTGCAGTCCATGATCCCCCTTGCTCTGCCTTCCAGATATACTTCTATGCTTTTGAAGTCTTCCGCACTGCCAGGCTTGAAGAGCCACTCATCCCTTATGTCACTCTGGGCATTGGTCTCTGCGAATTTGCCTCTGTGGTCCTGTGCGTAAGTACAAATGAGTTGCTTGCTGATTTTGCACAAATCAAAATTTTGCAAAATGTCAGGCAAACAGCCTCCCAAGAGAAAAGTCAGGTGGCAGCAGCTGGATCGAGGCCCTGGTGGGTTGGCATCTGCTCCTCCAGACAGATGTCTTTCAGTCAGAAGTCAAGGCAGGAGGTGGCAACAAAGTTAGGCTAGGCTCACTCACCTCCTTCTGCACATGTGCACAGGTTCCTTTGGGGTGAGCTTCTGTTTGGAATGACCATCTTTTTTGCCCTCAGAGCTGCATCATTGACCGCCTGGGCCGGAGAGTTCTGCTGTGGGGCGGGTTTGGGATGATGGCCTTCACATTGGCCCTCCTCGTCCTCACTCTGTCTCTCCAGGTAAGCATGTCCCACCTGGCTAATTCCTGGCTCTGTGGAATTTTGGACAATTCTTTCTTTTTAATTCACCTTTCTCTAAGCATAGTATTATCTTATTTCTTATCTTATCTTATATCTTATCTTGTTTCGCTGCGCACTGAAGACCCTGTTGTTCCGCCAGGCCGGGCTATCAACATAATAATTTTAAATTGGGGTATTTTAAATTTTTGGGGTTTTAAATCGGCCAAATCTATTTAATTATTTTAATTTTTAATCATTGTTGTGTCCTGTGTTTTTAAATTGGCTGTACACCGCCCTGAGTCCTTCGGGAGAAGGGCGGTATAGAAATAAAATTATTATTATTATTATTATTATTATTATTATTATTATTATTATTATTATTATTATTATTATTAGACTTCTGTTTATTGTTCCACTTGCCACAAATTGTGACAAAGGTTTTTACTTAACAGTTTCTTTAACTGTTATTTAACAAATGAAGAAATGAATAGTTTCTTCATTTTTATCTAATTTTTATCTAAATTTTAATTATACTAATGCTGTTTTATATGTGTGTGCATATGTGTGTTCATGCATGTGTTTGTGTGTCTGTGTGTACAGTCTTTGTCTTGTCATCTGCTGATTATCAGATTGATGGAAAAGCAAAATAAAAGTCCACTAACAATTTAAAAGATGAGGTTAAAAAAAAAGTGTGTGCTTTTTACCAAAGGTTTCACCAAAATTCAAACTCATTCAGGATAGACCCAGAAGGGATCTTGGAGGCCTTCTAGTCCAACCCACTGTTCAACCAAGAGATTCTATACTTCTATACTGTCCAGTCACACAAGTGACTGTCCAGTCTCTTCTTAAAAACCTCCAGTGATGAAGCACCCACAACTTCTGAAGGAAAGCTGTTCCACTGGTTAATTGTTCTCATTGTTAGGAAGTTTGTGGCAGCCTGTCAAATATTGGAACATGGCTATTATGTCACCTCTTTTCTGTAGACTAGCCATACCCAACTTCTGCAATCAACCATTCTTCATATGTTTTAGTCTCCGGGCCTTTAATCATCTTAGTTGCTCTTTTCTGCACTTTTTCCAAAGTCTCAACATCTTTTTTGTAATGTGGTGACCAAAACTGGATGCAGCATTCCAGGTGTGGCCTTACTAAAGTTTTATAAAGCGGTAGGAATAAAGGTAATCCTTGAATTAAGAATGTAATGGAGCCTGCCAATTACATTCATAATCTGAGGATTCGTTGGAGTGAATCATGTCAAATGAACGTGATTACTCCCTGCTTTTGCCCACACATTCGCTAACCGAATGCACAGATTGTTAAATACACATGAGGTATCTCAGTGTGAGAAGGCCATGGGGGGGGGGGGGTTAGCGATGGAACAGGCCACCTGCTTCAGAGCACCCAAAGCCTCCCCCGACCCACTGAGATAACTCATGTTCCATCCTGTGGGGTCCCCACAATTGCTCCCCCCCCCCATCCTGCCATACTGGGTCACTTACCTTGTTTTTTTTTTATATAAGTTTTTTATTTTATAAACAAACTGTTCTGCCCCAGCTATGGACCCCAAAGAATGCAGCACACACAAAGTCCGTACAAACCTTAGTTTACTAATTAAGGACTATTAATGAGCTTTCTTAGTAGTTGTTCGAACACAAGTACAGTTTAAACCAGTCTTTTCTGAACAAGGGCTGTTAATTTAATTTCATTAACAGCCGACAAGAATCCAAAGAATAACTCAATTCTGAGGCACAGTATTTCAAATAACCGTAATCTTACTGTGGTTGGCAGAATGCCCAGAAGCAATTTGCAGGAAAACTGACAAGAGAGAAGCAAGAGCTGATCAAATGTTTCTGGAATCAAGTCGTGAAGGAATATGAATGAAGTTGTTTCCTACAAATTGCATCAGTCGTCGTTCTTCCTCAAGGGGAGGTGGCCAATTAGCCCCAAGCCTTATACTCGAGGAGACCTCCTCCTGAGGAGCCACGCCTGCCTTTTAACATCTCTGCGCGCTTGTGCATCGAGAAGAGGCTCCTCCTCTTCTTCCTCTTCACTTATGGGAGCTTCTGGAGGTTCTGAAGGCCCTGGCTGAATCTCCACCTCTGGCACCACATCTTCTCCAGCCTCCTCATTGTCTGACTTGAGTACCAGCTGCACAGGCTGCTAGTGCATCACCACACCAGCCTCCTTGCTGTCGGAATCAGCTACTAGCTGCACAGGCCGCTGATGGGCCACAACACAAACATACAATACAATAATCAATCAATCAGTGTATAATCTGAGTACATCTTTTGTGTCTTCTTCCTACTCCTCCACTATTTATCATATCTTAATATTATCATTTCATTTATTATAACATTTCTCCCACATTTCTTGCTTTACTATTAATACATTTATCTATCTTTTTTCTCTTCTTTCTTCTTCACTTATTTCATTACAACATTACCCTATATATATCTCTTCTCTTGCCAATGATAAAAGTGACCCCATACCTTAAAATACTCCGATTCTTCTCTTTTTTTAATTATCAAAGTCAATCTATTTATTTCTGCACAATCCAATATTTTCTTAATTACTTCTCCCTCTGTAGGGATTTTTTCTGCTTTCCATCTTTGTGCAAATACTATCCTCGCTGCAGTTATAACATGTATAATCAAATATGTATTTTCTTTATTAAATTTCTCTGGTAAGATACCCAATAGGAACAGTTCAGGTTTTAAATCCATATGTTATTGTATCATTTCTTCTAACCATGTTTTAATTTTAATCCAATAATTTCTCGCTTCTGGACACGTCCACCACATATGATAATACGATCCTGATGTCTGATAGCATTTCCAACATTTAGCTGATTTATCTTTAAACATTTTTGCCAATTTTTCAGGTAGCATGTGCCATCTGTAAAATATTTTATATTGATTCTCCTTATATGCTGTGGACATTGTTAATTTATAATTCCTTTCCCAAAGCTGCTGCCATTTATCTAACTCAATTGAATATCCAAAATTTTTTGCCCAAGTTATCATTGTTTCTTTCACTTGTTCTTCTAATTTAATACTAAGTAGGTGATCACTTACCTTGTGAAGATGTCTCCTCTTCAACCTCTCTGCTGTGCTTTCTTTGCCTGCTTTCAGTCTTGGCGTGAAAAGTATTTGCAAGCCGACAAGACTTTGGGCCAACGAAATCTCATTGCTTCAAGCCTCCCATCAGCTTGCAAATGCTTTTTGCACTGAGACTGGAATAAATAAATAAATAAATAAATAAATAAATAAATAATTTTATTTCTATACCGCCCTTCTCCCGAAGGACTCAGGGCGGTGTACAGCCAATTTAAAAACACAACACACAACAATAATTAAAAATTAAAATAATTACATAGATTTGGCCGATTTAAAACCCCAAACATTTAAAATACCCCAATTAAAATTATTAAGTTGATAGCCCTGCCTGGCGGAACAACAGGGTCTTCAGTGCGCAACGAAACACTCGGAGGTCGGAGATCTTGCGTATTTCCGGGGGCAGTTCATTCCACAAGGCTGGGGCTCCCACAGAAAAGGCCCTCCCCCTGGGTGTCGCCAGCCGACATAACTTGGCTGATGGCACCCTGAGGAGACCCTCTCTGTGGGAGCGGACTGGTCGGTGGGAGGCTATTGGTGGCAGAAGACGGTCTCGAAGGTACCCGGGTCCTATGCCATGGAGCGCTTTAAAGGTGGTAACCAACACCTTGAATCGCACCCGGAAGACCACTGGGAGCCAGTGCAGCTCGCGCAGGAGGGGTGTCACGCGGGCACAACGAGTTGCGCCCATAACCACCCGCGCGGCCGCATTCTGGACCAGTTGGAGCCTCCGAGTGCTCTTCAAGGGGAGCCCCATGTAGAGAGCATTACAATAGTCCAGCCGGGAGGTGACAAGGGCATGAGTGACCGTGCGCAAGGCGTCCCGGTCCAGAAAGGGCTGCAACTGGCGGATCAGGCGAACCTGATAAAAGGCCCCCCTGGCCACGGCCGTCATATGCTCTTCTAAAGACAGCCGTGCGTCCAGGAGGACACCCAGATTGCGAGCCCTCTCTGTGGGGGGCAAAGATTCACCCCCAATAGTCAGCGATGGCACCTGCTGACTATATCGGGACGCCGGCAGCCACAGCCACTCGGTCTTGGACGGGTTGAGTCTGAGCCTGTTCCTCCCCATCCAGACCCGCACGGCCTCCAGGCAGCGAGACATCACATCAAGGGCATCGTTGGGGTGGTCTGGGGTGGAGATGTACAGCTGAGTATCATCAGCGTACAGATGACACTTCACCCCAAAACCACGGATGATCTCACCCAGTGGCTTCACATAAATGTTGAACAGAAGGGGCGAGAGGACCGACCCTTGTGGCACTCCCCATGCGAGATGCCTCGAGGTCGACCTCTGCCCCCCTGCCAACACGAACTGCGAGCGGTCGGAGAGGAAGGAGGAGAACCACCGCAGAACGGTGCCCCCTATTCCTAACCCTCTTAACCGCCGCAGCATGATACCATGGTCGATGGTATCAAAAGCCGCTGAGAGATCTAATAGGACTAGGACAGAGGAGCAACCCCTGTCCCGAGCCCTCCAGAGATCATCCACCAACGCGACCAATGCCGTTTCTGTGCTGTGCCCCTGCCTGAAGCCCGACTGGCACGGGTCTAGATAGATAGCTTCATCCAGGTGCCCGGGCAGTTGTCGTGCCACCACACTCTCAACAACCTTCGCCACAAAACGAAGGTTGGAGACCGGACGGTAGTTAGCTAATTCAGCCGGGTCCAGGGAAGGCTTCTTGAGGAGGGGCCTCACCACCGCCTCTTTCAAGGCGGCGGGAAAGGCACCCTCACTCAGAGAAGCAGTTATAATCCCCTGGAGCCAGCCTCGTGTAACCTCCCGGGAGGCCAGTACCAACCAGGAGGGACACGGGTCCAATAAACATGTGGCGGCACTAATCCTACCCAGAACCCTGTCCACATCCTCGGGAGCCACAGGATCAAACT